TTTGGAAAACAGTTTGGCAGTTTCTTGAAATGTTAAACACATACCTATTATCTAATCCAGGCATTCCACTCCTAGGTATTTACCCAAGAAAAACAAAAGTATGTGTCCGTGCAAAGGCTTGTTCATAGCAGCATTATCTGGATTAGCTCAAAATTGGGAATCACTGACATGTCCATTAGTAAATAAATGGATAAATGAACTGTGGTATATTCACAACAGAATGGTACTCAATAATAAAAAGAAATGAAGTATTGAGTATGTTCATTGAAAGAAAATAGACCAAAAAAAGAGAGTACGTACTGTATGATTCCATTTATGTAAAATTCTAGAAATGCAAACCACCCACAGTGACAGAAAGTGGATCAGTGTCTGCATGAGGGCTGGTGGGTGTAGCAAGAGAGGTACAGAGAGACAAGGATTGCAAAGGGGTGCAGGGAGACTTTTGAGGGTGATGTATATTGTCAGGGCCCGGGGCTGGCCGCTTCAAGATATCCCACGCTGGTATATTGATTATTTTGAATTAAAATCACTGGAAAAGCAGCAGGAGCAGGAGGCGTTCTCTGACTCTCCTCAGTCTTCTAAGTGGAGGGAATAAATCTCCAAGATAGGTGCCCTCCTTGCGCCTCAGGGCTGAGAGTCAACCTTATCACAAGAGTTTTAAAATCCATGGCGAAAAGCTTGTATAGGGCGGCCGGTTAGCTCAGGTGGTTAGGGCGCAGGCTCATAACACCAAGGTTGCCAATTTGATTCCCACATGGGCCAAGGAGCTGCGCCCTCCATGATTAGATTGAAGACAACTACTTGACTTGGAGTTGATGGGTCCTGGAAAAACACTGTTCCCCAATAAAAATTTCTTTAAAAAAAGACTTGTATAAACAAACCTTGTAAAGCCTTTACTAATTTATTACCCAAGCCCAAACCTTGCTTAGATTCCTTTCTAAAAAGCACTAACTTTCTTTGTCCTGTTAATTTCTCGGAAACTTATTGTTGTTATTGTTTGTTTTGTTTTGTCTGAAAAGTATAACAAGTTCCTGATTCAGACATTTCTTTGAGCCTCATTTTATGATCTAAGCATCATATTGTGATTTTCCCATGTGCCCGTATTAAATTGGTTTTTCACCTGTTAACCTAGCCTTATGTCAATTTTAGTATTTTATTATCAGTCCAGCTGTAAGAACTAAAGAGGGATAGAGGGGGGGAATTATGCCCCTCTCTGACAATATGCTCACTTTCTTAATTGTGACTGTCGTGTAATGGGGTATACTTGTGTCAAGACTTTTCTAATTGTACCTTTTAACATGTGCCGTTTATTGTACATTATATCTCGATAAAGCTGTTAAAACTTTCCATTTCTTATTTAAATTTTAATAGATCATATAGGGCTGGCCGAGTGGCTCAGTTGGTTAAGAACTCGCCCAAGAGCATGAGCTCTGAGCAACTAGCAATTCGATTCCCAGCCCGAGCTGAGCTGCCGCTGAGCTGCCAACAGGTGGCAGGATGGCTCAGCTAAAAAAATAAATAAATAGAAATAAATAAAAGATCATATTAAAAAAAGGTGTCACATAATTTTAAAAAGTATGGAAAGGTTTACAATGAAGGTTCCTGCTGCCCAGTTTCTTGTATCCCCATCACAGATAACAAGAATTATTTGCATTGCTGTAGACTTCCCAAACGTTAATGTTTACCTTTACAGATTGTAAAATATCCAAGTCAAACAAAGGTTTACCTACCCTTACAGAGTCAGGTAATCCCTAGGAGATCCTGCCAGTCATGCCCAGCCCTGGAAGAACACACTAGAGTCCTTTTGGCCTATTTTCAAATGTCAGATACTCTTTCTTATGTTATCTATCTGTTCATATTCTTTGCCCATTTTTCTATTGTATTGTTGATCTTTATCCTGTGGACTTTTGAGCACTTTTTCCATAGTAGAGAGATTAGCTCTTTGTCTATGATGTGAGTTGCAAATATTTTTCCTGGTCTGTAGTTTTTCTCTTGACTGACTTTTTTTTTTTTTTTTTGGCAAAGCAGACTTTTCATGGAGTATAATTTATCAGTCTTTTATGACTTCTGATTTGAAGCCATAGTTAAACAAGCCTTTGCTATTCCAAGGTCATTGAGGCATTCTTTCACATTTTCTTCTAGAGCTTGTATGGTTTCGTTTGTACTGTCAAATGGTTGGTCCATTTGGAATTTATTCTGGTGCATGATATAAGTTGTAGGATAGTTTTTCTGCTTTTCTTTTAAAACATTAACACTTATTTTTAAAATAAAGCCTTTCTTTTTTCTCCTGGTATTCTAAAAGTATTGGCATTGTGTATGAACAATGACTAATTTTTAGAAATTTACTTTGAAATTTAGGGGCAAGAAGTGGGACATTTATCACTCTTGCTTGAATGTCACTTTGAGAAGCAAAAGTTGCTTACTCTACGGTATGTAAAAGTTACCTTTGAAGTCAACATTTATTTTATTACTCATGGTATATCCCTTTTTTTTCCTGACAAATCAAAATTTGGTAGATGGGAGGGGATAATTTCCGCCTTATGCACACGTTGCTCTTCAATAGCTCTTAGCAAAATGAGTCAGAAAAGAATTGTTCTCTAGCCGGAAGCCATCACTTCTTTTCTTGCCCTGAGGCAGAGAAGTCTTTGGTTTCTATCCTCCCGGTTCAAGTCTGACTTAGCTTTACCCTGTGGCAGTATTACAGGGTAGCATTTCAGAGACTACTTGGCGCGCTGACTTATAATGACTGGGTAGGAATTAGCCAGAAGACAAGGGGGAAGAGTACTCCAGGCAGTGGAATAGCACCGGCGAAGGTACAGATGTGTGATGTGTTCTGGGAACTATGAATTCCAGCAAGCAGAATATAGGGTCAAGGAAGGCAGTGGTGGGAGATGACAATGTAACAAACCTCCAAACCTGTAGAGAATTTGTATAAGAGCTTATTCGAGCCCAAACTGAGGACAGTTGCCAGAAAGGAAAGATCTCACATGCTCTAGGGAATGACAGTTTTGCCGTTTCTTTTATACATTTGGAATTAAGGAGGGGACGGAAGGAAGATGACATGAAGGTGGGGAAAAGCAAGGCAGGGATTGGCTTACGGGATAGTTCACAAGATCACGCACTCTCTTAAGGGTGGTCACCTAGATGTTGAAAGGTGTGTTAACCTAGATGCACAGAAACAATGGATAAGGCTTGCTCAAGGCAAAGGTAAACCTTTTACTCCACAAGTTATATGCCTGGGACCTGTTCCACTCAGTTAGGAATTTATGACCAAGTCACCCTGTGAGGTTACTTTTCTTAGGACCTCTTTTTCATCCACAGAGACCAGGCTGAGAGGCAAGCAAGGGCTGGACGGCGGAGGATTGTAAGTAGACTTTCTCAAGGGCAATGGGGAGCCACTACATACCAAACTAAAGGGGGTTTGTCTGCCTGCGTGCATCAAAGCCTAGTGAGACACGAACAGGGGTGTGCAGCAAAGAAAATAAAGGTTTATTGTTTAAGGAAATGGCGTCAAGCCTGGAGACACAGGTAAGCCAGTGCTCAAAGACCTGGCTCCCAACGGCCTCCAGAGGATAGGTTATCTAGGGGAAAAAGCATTAGCCATGGTGGCTAAGGGTGTTGGGGCCATGGGCCCCACTGGTTGGTTAGGGCTAGGGTGGGAGGCAGTTGATCATTGCATCAGGTCCTGATGTCAGTCATGGCCTTGTTCTGTCATCCCGTTGAAGGGGATGTGGCCCGGAGGGTCCTTTCGCTTTCATGGGTCTGGAGTTACAACACCACTGAGGTTAAGATGTTATCTTTAACCTCTTTAGTTTGACCAAACTATCTTTAGTTTTACCAAAACTCTTTTGCTGTGGTCAACAGACCTGAGACTCTGTTCCTAAGACTGTTGCTGAGCTCAATCTGATGTCCTAAAGGCTTCAGGCTGTGGTCACGCAGTCCAAGCAAAGGTGGGAGGGTAAGGCAACAAAGGAGCAAGTGGGTCATGGTGCGATAATAGTAGACTAGACAAGGCCAGTGTGAATCAAGGAGAACGAAAAGAGGAAAAGCTGTTTTAAAGAAGTGAAGATTTTACAAGGTTACAATGATAAGGTCTCCCTTCCGAACCTGCGATGTTCTGGCAAAGTCAGCCCTGTCCCATGGCCCCGCCAGGAAAGGCAGGAGGTCCAGATTTATGCTGTGTGGAAAGAGCCCCCTTGGGGGAGGGGCAGAGGCAAAGCAGAGGGCTCTTGCTGAGTGTCCAAGGAGAGAAGCCCTTTGAGTGGAAGTTGGAGAGAGGGAGGAACCCTCTCACCCTGCCAAGAGAAGGGGGCCCCCAAACCCAGGCGAGACAGGAGGGTCAGAAACGCTGAGGCAAATGTCACTTGTGTCTTTTTTCCCCTTAAAAACTAAGCCAAGTGGCTGTGTTCAGCGGCCCCTCAGGAAGGCCAGTCATTTCCTGAGGGGATATCAGGCCAGCCCAGGCATTGTTTTCATTTCCAGCCATGGCCACTATTACCTGAGCGGCACCAACAGCTGGTCTCTCTGCTGTCCTGGGATAAGTTACCGGAGTGTTTTTTCTGCTTTTCACAGGGCAGGCTTCTCATCTGTGGTGCGTGGCAAGTGTCTTCTGCCCCAGAGGCATGGCCCAAAGGCTGAACTAACTGCCCAAAGTCTTCGCTCTCAGGATGCAGCTGGGGTGGGTCCAAGGGGGCAAGATGTGGCTTGGAGTCCTGCTGACACTTCTGCTCTGTGAGTTTTATTCTCTTCCCACATCATTTATTTTAAACTTTCTAAGAATTGAAGCTAATGAAATCAATACATTTATTCTGTCTTTTCCAGGTTCAAGCCTTGAGGGTCAGGAAAACTGTGAGTTGTAAAGTTTCTACCTAGCTTCAGTATGTCTTTCTCTGATTTTTAAAACTCATGTCAAATTGCTTGGGTTAATGTTTGTAACAATTGAGAAAAAAAAATTCCAATCAAAAGCTAAAGTTTATTGTTTTCTGGCATTTTTTAGAAGGTTTTCGAACAAAACAGTTGTTCTAAGCCTAAATCTAATCAGCGTGTTTTAGAAGTAGTACACATTTTCTGGATCCGAGTGAGCTGTTGTATGTTAGGATTGGGGGAGGGGTATTACTATAAAAAATGTGAGTGATTCCATAATTTGTTTTTTATTGTTCTGCCATAAATTTCTCATTTTCGTATTTTACGCCATTCCCAATTTTTTTTTAAATTCACAAATGAAATATAATCAATTTGTTAGATTCATGAAGACACAACATAGTTTCAGTTGTTCCGACGTTTTTCTCCTACATGATCTAAAATGGATTTCATCTCCCATTCACCTGTGAGGCTACAGTCAGACCTGCAATATTGTATGCTTGTGTACAGGAAGGGGGGCTTCTGCCTTCTATCTTTGAGGTCTGGTTTATCATCCACTTTAGAGCTAATTTTGAATCTTTAAGATAAGCAGGTTTTGTTTTGCTTCACCTGGGACCATGTGAAGGAGTGGACTTTGCAGGATCCCCTTGTCAGCGGTCGTTTCAGTTGGTGAAGAATGTGGTGTCTGGGTTGCAGACAGTTGTGTAGTTCCTAGGAGACGATGTACATGGATGATGCTGGCTTGTTGAGCCCAGGGCTTGGGGCAGTGGCTCCAGGACAGGGAGGGCTAGTGTGGCTATTGGCAAAGCCGGTCTGCGGGTCTCCCGCTCAACTGCCCATGTGCTTTGGCAGGCATTTGATCCCCATGGCAACCCATGGAGGCAGGACCTCCATTATCATCATAATCATCATAATTAACCGGTGATGGCTCTGCACCTCAGAGTAATAACTGACTTGTCCAAGCGAGATCCAGTTGGTGGGGTATCGGCACTAGAACCTCCCCTATCCAGAACCTGCCTATCTGTCTGTTGCCATAGGCCTGACTCAACTGAACACTTATACTTTGTCTCTTTGAGCCCTTTTCCCAGTCTGTAAAGCAGGGATAAGAGAATCAATCATAGGGTCAGTGTGAGGATGAGATTAGATAAAAGAAAGTGACTGGCCTGCCCAGCGTGTGGTGATGAATAAATAACGGGTTTCTACCTGCAGCCCTTGTCCTCCCCACCTCAGAGCTCCTGAAACACCCTCTGTCCACTCCAGCCCAGGACCGCCAGCTTTTATCTGGACCACACCCTGCCAACACTCATGCTCCTGGTGTCTGCATCTCTTGCTCTCGACTTCCTGTTTCCCAGGACCTCCAGCCTCCCCCATCTCCTTTCCCATCTCAGATGGAAGTAAATCGCTCCCTTCCCAGGGTTCTTAGAGAAAGGTCTTTGTGCCTTCAGGGAAGACCTTGGAACTGCAGGACTTAGAGCAGGAGACTCCCCTACTGCTTCCTTAGGCCTCCGTCTTGTTTTATACTAGAAGGTGGCCATAAGGTATTTGGGCATGGTCAACACTCGGTGTTAGCGGAGTGAGGGCAAGGATCCAGGTGTCCCTTTCCTTAGGTCACCCAAGACCACACTGACAATGAGTTTGACATGCATGACCTATGAGCCTGCTCTGCATTGCCTGCTGCTGCGGTTAAGGTGCCTGGTCAGCCTTGGCCCTCTCCTCTCCTTTATCTCAGGCCCCCACCCCACCCGAGCCAGCCTGCCTTAGGAGATGACCTCAGCTCCATCTTCACCTAGAAAACAGTGCTGTCTGGAGTGAACTCCCTCAGCTTCCCGCCCTGCCCTGGCTGCAGGCTTATCTGCCTCCCCGCCCATCCTCCCAGCTTCCCTCCCACTTCCGAGGACATGTCTGCCCTGTGCTGTCCTGGGCCAGCCGGTCCACCTGGGCTCTGAGCCCAGCCCTCGCATTGCCCCCCAGGATCTCACTCTATCATTCAGTTGCTTCCACCCCACTTTTAGTATCTCCCCCTCCCCACCCTTCTGGCTCCCCTCAGTCTATAAACAAGATTGGTAGCTCTTGCTTTTTTAGGAAAAAGGAAAATCACACACAACCCACCCCTCCATTTATCTTATGTCCCCTATCTGCCCACTCCCTTCCTCAGTCAGACTTCTCCGAAGGCTGGTTTATACGCCCTGTCTCTGCTTCATCAACTCTCAGTCACCCCTCACTTAGCTGTCTGGCCGTGGCCCCCACACCTCCCTGCATTGGAGTCCTCTCATGGACCTCCTGACGCCCAATGCACAGACACCCAGCCCTTCGCGTTGGGCCGTGTGCAACCTTTGCACGAAGCCTCCTAGACCCTCTGCCCTGATGTTCTCTCACATCTCTGACTAACTCTCCTCCTTTCCCCAGGGGACATTTGGACTTTCCTAGGATCTGAACTCCCTCCATGCCCTGGTCTCTGCAGGCTCCCTGGTCTTATCCTCTGTGGAGTTCAAGCCCCCTCTCTACCTTCACATACGCCCCGATCCAATAGCGTTCTGGCCTCTCTCCTGAGCATCATGAGGGGCCGGTAGGTGACATCTCCTAGTCACCTCCCAGGTCCCTCAAAGCCAGCCTCACCACCATGACTTTTTTCTTTGCCATTATCTTTTTCTGGCATTCTCTACTTTATTCAGTGGCACCTGTATACTCCTGGGTACCCAATCCGGGAACCTTATCTTTCACTCTTTGCCTCAACCCCCATATCTAAGCAAACAAGTCTTTTTCTTTTTAATTGTAATAAAATACACATAACATAAAATTGAGGTATTATGAATGATATTTAGTACATTCATAATGTTGTGCAAACATCACCATAACTTTTTCATCACCTGCCAAAATAAGTCCTTTTGCGTCCACTAAATATTTCTCCAGTCTGCCCCTTCCTTCATTCCCACCACACCTGCCCTAGCTCACACCTCATCGTCCTTCACCTGAACCCCAGTTCCAAGCTATTTATAGGCCTCTGGTCTCTCCTCCCAGCCCACAGTGATTTTCGAAAGCTCCAGTGTCATCCTGTCACCCCTTCCTGAAGACTCTCAGGATCAGACCCAGCGTGTCAGCAGAGCAGGCAAGGCCCTTTGTTCTGTCACTTCCTACCTGGCCCTTCTGGCCCCTCCAACGCCACACTCTGGTTCCTGTAACTGTCAGTGCCCGGATGCTTTGATTTCTCATGCCCCTGGAGCCCTGGTACATGCTGTTCTCCTGCCAGAGTGCCCCTGTTCTTGGCCTGCTCCAAGACTCGGTTCAGGGGTCATTTCCTTCAGACTTTCCTTGGCCTGTCCTGGGCAGTCCTTCCTCTTGGTGTTTACGTCACTGTATTCCAATTATCTGGGTCCCCACCAGCCTGCACAGTCTAGGACAATAGGGACGATTGCGTGTTTACCTTGTAAACCCAGTACCTGGCACAGCTGCTCGATAAATGTCTCACTGAAGGGGACCCAAACTGAACTTGGAGATACATAGTTGAGATTTAAATGAGAAGATGGGCTAGCAATGCTCTGTGCTGAGCACCCAAGTCCGGCGGGGAGTCCATGCTTCAAGGCTCCCTGTAATTCTCCTGACAATAGTGGGTGGTTCCTCCTCTCCCCACCACCTTTTTTTCTGAGTCATTTCCAGGTTGAGGGCCGAGTGGCTGGCTGAGTCATAATGTCTCATCTTCCCAGGGCTCATCAGCATCCGCTGACTGGCAGCTAGATGCAGAGGGAAGCAGACCCCTTCGTTTTAGTGTTTGGAGCTTTGGGGCTGTGGTCCCAGACTGCTCTATTTGTGCTGTGGTGACTTTGTTACTACGGATCCTCTTCCATCAGCCTTCATCTCCCTGGGTTGAAAAGATCTGACCTCTTAAAGCTGTTTCACAACCCATCGTTCTTCAGTCATGACAGTTCTGAACCTTTTTGGCTCTGTAAGGAGAGCTGTGGATCCTGTCTCCAGAAAAACACACACTTGCATATAATTGGAGGTGGCTCACGGGCCCCCTAACACCCACCCATGAGCTTCTGGGGGCCCCAGGTAGCCGAGGTTATGAGCAACAACCACTGTATTGTGTGAATGGTGAGACTTGCACACAGTAATCCAAATTGGCCATTCCTGGACAGTTTATTCCTAAAGAAGATGTTTTCTGTGTTATCTTAATAATCAGGTAGAGATTTTTGAAGATTCATTGGGTGGTATATTTGTTATCTATTGCTGCTTAACAAATTACCCCAAAACTCAGTGGCTTAAGACAACAATTTATTATCTCACACAGTTTCTGAGGGTCAGGAATCTGGGAATGGCTTAGATGGGTGGTTCTGACTCAGGGTCTATCAGGAGATTGCAGATAAAATGTTGGTCAGGGTTACAATTATTTGAAGGCTTGTCTGAAACTGGGGAATCTGCTTGTAAGCTCACTCATGTGGCTGTTCCTCTCCGAAGGGAGGCTCATGACATGGCACCTGGCTTTGCCCAGAGTACGTGATCCCTGAAAACCAAGAGTGACCGAGACAAAAGTTGCAATGTCTTTTGTAACCCAATCTCAGAAGTGACACACCACCCCTGCTACAGTGTTTTGTTGGTCACAAGACCAACCCTTGAATGATGTGGGAGGAGACCACAAGCAGGTATGAATACCAGAAGGCAAGGCTCATTTCATTGGAGTCCATCTTTTTTTTTTTT